TACCTCCCCCACCCCCAATTTCTTCTGGTAATCACCCTAATGTTGTCTGCATTTATGAGTTTTTCTTGCTAAATTTCTTCACCCTTTTCATCCAGCTCCCCTAGACATAGACAACAGTATGGTGATTACCAGAGGGAAAGGGGTGGGGCGGGGTAGTAAATGGTAAAGGCTGTCATATATATAGTGATGGAAGATGATATGACTTTGGGTGGTGGGCATACAATGCAATATACAGTTCATGTATCATAGAGGTATACACTTCAAACCTATATAATCTTATTAACCAATGTCACCCCAGTAAACTTAATAAAAAATATAAATTGAAATCCTTATGGCATTTTCAATAAAAAAATAAAATAGAAAAAGATTCTATGATTTTTTTTTATTGTTGACAGTATTAAAGATGTCCCCCATCCCCCACCCCCCTGTCCTTCCCCACCCAGGCTTTCTCTACACTATTGTTTGTGTCCATGGTCTATGCATATATGTTCTTTGGTTAATCTCTTATCATCATCCCTTTTACTTCCCTGCCCTCTGAATTCTGTCATTCTGTTCCATAATTCATGCCTTCTGGACCCTCTAAAATCAATAAAAACTTCTTTTTTAAAAAGGAAGCTGGCCCCTGCCAGTGTGGCTCATGGTTGAGCACTGACCTATGAACCAGGAGGTCACAGTTTGATACCCGGTCAGAGCACATGCCTGGGTCGCTGGCTCAATCCCGAGGAGGGGACATACAGAAGGCAGCCAATCAATGAGTCTCTCTTACTGATGTTTCTCTCCTTCTCCCTTCCTCTCTGAAATCAATAAAAATATAGTCCTAGCCGGTTTTGCTCAGTGGATAGAGCATTGGCCTGCGGATCGAAGGGTGCTAGGTTAGATTCCGGTCAGGGGTACGTACCTCGGTTGCAGGTTCCTCCTCAGGCTGGGGCCCTGGTCAGGATGCATGCAGAAGGCAACTAATCGATGTGTTTCTCTCACATTAATATTTCTCTCTGTCTTTCCCTCTCTCTTCTGCTCTTTTTAAAAACCAATGGAAAAACATCCTTTGGTGAGGATTAAAAAATTAAAAAATATATATTTTTAAAAAAAGCTGAGGCATGTTTTAGGTAGGCTGGATAGAATTCCCATATTTTACATGGTATGGATACTAGTTTGTAAGTTACTAATAGAATAGTAGGTAGAACTCCTATAATAGAAAATAATGGAATAAATCAAAGGAAATCAGAGTGGGGCAGTTATGATGGGTTGTTTTGCTTTTTTACCTAGATATTCTACATTTCTTCATTTCTCTACACCGTCAATTACATCTGGTATCTCTACAAAGAACTAAGGATGAAACACACCCAGAGTGGACAGAGCACATTTTCCTTGGTAAGTTTTATTCAAAGTTAATAGTTAAGAACAGTATGCTAAAACAAACCCATGTATCCTTGATCAATATTGTAAACACTCAGCACAGACTAGGTGAATTAATTGAGATTAATAAAAGGAAAACATGTTCTCACTGAGTTTCTATCCTGTTAATATGATTTCCTCATATCTCATACCACCAAAAAAAAAAAAAGAGACTCCATTATGGGAAACATTATGCACAGTACTGCCATTCCTGCCTGGTTCTATTCAGTAAAAGAAATAATCCTGGCTCTATGCCAGTACATCATTGTTGCTAAAGATCTTGGCGAAGAGTCAGGGAAAGTGTTTAGCTTGGAAACCTGGGATTTGAACTATAGGTATGGAAAGGGTGAGTGTTCTGCTCTGCTGTATTTTTTCAGTATGAGTAGATAAAAAATATTGGTTTGCAGAAGAGCAGGGGAAATAATGTATGGTAATCAGAAAATAAGATTAACCCAGGGAGAAGTTAGTTGTCTTTCCCCCTTTGGTTCACAGAGTTTTGGCACTGTCTAGCATTATAATTATTCACTAAGTCAGTACATCTGGACTCTTTGTGTGCATGTATGTATTTTACATATCATATAATTCACCTATTTTAAATATACAATTCAATGGTTTTTAAAGTAAACTTAATCAGGTTGTATAGTCATCATCACATGACAGTTTCAGAATATTTTCTTCACCCCAATAAAATCTTCCATGCCCATTTACTGTTAATCCCCTTCCAACCTTCTGCACTAGACAAGCACTAATCTACTTTCTGTTTATAGAGTGTCCTTTTCTGGACATTTTATATAGATGGAATCACACAGTATATAATTTCTTTTGTCTGTTTTATTTAATTTAGCATAATGCTTTTGAAGTTTATCCATTATAGTATTATATAAGTAATTCATTACTTTTTATTGGTGAATAGTATTACATTGTATAGTATATTTTCTTTCTTATTTCTGACTCTTAGTATATCACTAAGTGATCTTGGCAGAATACATTTTTATGATATGAGCAATTTTCATTTATTTAAATGTCTTTATATGTTTTATAAACTATAAAACACTAATAAAAGAAAAAGAAGCAAATTAACTGTACCTCTACGATGCCCACCAGCCCATCAGAAGTGAGTATTCAAATTAACCCAACAAGGATGGCTGGTTAATTTGCATATGCAGGCACCTAGCAGCTGTGTCGTACCAATGGCGATGATGCAGGCGTTCCACACCACCCCAGCCGCTCTGGGCCTCTGCGCAGCGTGCAAAGGTGGAAAAGTGGCTCCAGCCTGAACTAAGGCAGAAAGGCAGCTCCGGCCAGAGTGAAGGTGGTGCCGGCAGCCAGGGGAAGGAAGGCCCATTCTTGCACAATCTTCATGCATTGGGCCTCTAGTTATACATATTTTTCAAAATATTTTTATCGATTTCAGAGAGGAGAGGAGAGGGAGGAGATAGAAACGTCAATGATGAGAGAGAATCATTGATTGCCTGCCTGCTGCACACCCCTTACTGAGGATTGTGCCCACAACCCAAGCATGTGACCTGACTGGGAATCAAACTGGTGACCTCTTGGTGCGTGGGTCAAGGCTCAACCACTGAGCTACACCAGCCGGGCAGAACAAACTAATTTTTGAAGAAAAGGGAGAGAGAGACAAAGATTAACTGTCACATATGGTATTCTATTGCTTTATAGTCATACAAATGCACATATTGTGCTTTTCTTTATGTAACACATGCTATAACACTAATATTCCAAGAAGATAAACTTTAGCCAAAAAATTTAACTCCACTGTCTATTATTCTGTTATTTTAGCTTTATTCCTAAAGCCTTGACATGTTTTTTTTTTCATGTTTGAGTTCTCTTTTAAATACCCTAGCAAGACTTATGCCCTAAACTTTTACTAATAAACTTTTTTATCAGAGATTCATTGATATCCAGTTAAGAATAAGAATTAAACACAGGATAGCCACCTGCTGGATAGAGGATATAATAAAAAGAGAAAAAGGGACATGAGTGGGAGAAGTCACCAAAGACTAATTTTACTTATTTCCCATTTTACCTAAAGTCAGCAATTTCTATCCAACTTGAAATAATTTGCTATTCTTGATTCAAAGTTCTTAAGGCAGGTCAGTTAGTCATCTCTGGTTATTAATTAATTGCTCACTTAATGCTTATTGATCCCTAACAATGCCATCCCATATTGTCTCTACCTTAAAATAGAAAAAAACAACAACACTTGTTTTCTCTTCTGTTATCTCTTTAAGGTGTTATGTTCAATATCTTTCACCATAAATTCCTACTGGGTAGGGACCATTCTTCTGTAGTTTGTTTTACAGTGTCTAACACAACTGGAGATTTTTGAAATGTTCTTTCTTCTAGAATCTAACAAGTCTTGAAGGGCTTATAATCCAAAGGGTTTATTTGACCTTGCCCTTATTATACTAACCCTGGCCTGTTATACTTTCTGCTGGTCATCTTTCTTAAATTTATTTTTTATTATCTTTATTAATTTTTTAAATCCTTACCTGAGGCTATTTTTCCATTGATTTTTAGAGAGAATGGAAGAGAGAGGGAAAGACAGAGAAATATTGATGTGAGAGAAACACATCAATTGGTTGCCTCCTGCACTAGCCCCAACCAGGGCCCGGGCTGGGGAGGAGCCTGCAACCGAGGTATATGCCCTTGACTGGAATCGAAACCGGGACTCTTCAGCCCACAGGCCAACGCTCTGTCCACTGAGCCAAATCAGCTAGGGTCTGCTGGTCATCTTTTTTTTTTAATATATTTTATTGATTTTTTACAGAGAAGAAGGGAGAGGGACAGAGAGTAAGAAACATCGATGAGAGAGACCGATCAGCTGCCTCCTGCACACCCCCCACTGGGGATGTGCCCGCAACCAAGGTACATGCCCTTGACCGGAATCGAACCCGGGACCCTTGAGTCCACAGGCCGATGCTCTATCCACTGAGCCAAACCGGTTCGGCTGGTGGTCATCTTATACATAGACTTTCACTCCATTCATAAGGAGTAAAAATCCCACACCTCCCTGGATATAAAAGAAGAGGTTTGAACTGTTATTAGAAGATGGAACATTGTGTGATTTAACATTTGCCTTTTTTTAAAGAGAATTTGTTCTGGTAGGCAAATCTTATATTAAGCTACTTCCTACAGGTTCTTTTTGTGACTATTGTACTATTTAGAATATAGTAACACAGATAAAATTCTCTTATCTCCTATGCTAAGGAACTATTTCACTGAATTTTATAGCAAATATTTCTTAACGAAGCAAGCTGACTCTTGGGAATTTTTATTCTGTCAAGTGACACATAATAACCTGGTATTTATTATAACATGATTGGCAATATCCTAGACATTGCTCACATTTATCCTTTTCATAGGTTATAGATAATACTTGTCGAGTTGGTCAGATAGCCATCATTTCGTCAAGGTAAGATATTTTGCTTTCTTTCCTAGCAAGGTGTGGAACTCTCATTATTCTGGGGTCTAGGTGGGAGCAAATAGGAGAACAATGTCCTTTATATCTATTGAATCTGTCATGCCTATGTCCTCTTGGAGCCTTACTGAGTAGGAAGCAACAAATATGTGATCTTTGGTTCCATTTTCTCAAATAGGCAAACGGTTTGAAGTTACAGATTTGGGTTTTAGCCTCAATTCTGCCATCATGTCTAAGTGCCTGTTAGGTATTTCCCTTTAAGTCTTTGGACTTTTAATTCCTTTCTACATCTCTTAAAGAGTTGTAATAGGGGCTTTCAAGATCTCATCTACCTTTATAACATTGGATGAGATTCTTAAAATTATTAAGCCCAGAAGGGGTCTGGATTTCATTTAAGTGGTCATTACAGAGTTGGTTTTAGATTTTGTAACTTTTACTCTTGGGTCTTTTCCTCTGGATAATAATTGGTTATTTAAAGGTCTATTTTAGAAAAGCTCCCAGGAAAGGACATATGAGAATGAAGTTATTTCTGGTCACCATGGAAAGTGAAACAGACTGAGCAAGCAGAGAGCTCCTTGTAAAATATTTCCTTTCATTTTGACCCACTTGGATTTTATCAGATCACACAACTCCCAGAGACTCTTTAAGAAACTCTGTTAGTGTTCATTACCCTAAGTATAAAATGCATTCCTCACTTCTCTTCCCCAGGTATTGAAAAAGACAGTATAGTTAAGGTTTTTGAACGATTTTTCTTAGAGAATTTAAATATGTATGTATTAGTGGAGAGTGGTGGGATGATAGAGGAGGGAAAAGAACAGGATAATATTTTGCAAATGGAAGAGGGCATAAAACAGTCTGAATATTAGGGTGATAAGTTTTTTTTTCCTCCTAGCCTGATACCTCTACTATTGATGATACCTGTATTCTGTCTGGGCAATGCCAGTGAATGTTTCCTCAACTTTAGCCAGAACCACAGGTAAGTAAGGACCAAATCTATCATTTTCATGGTTGTCTACACATACTCTGTTCTATAAATGGAGATAGAAGAGGACTTTCTACATACATTCTGGCTAAGGTGTTGTATTTAAAATGAGCTATGTGAATAATGAGAATAATGTGCAGTCAAGGCTGTAAATACATACATAGAATATAACACGGTGACTAGAAAATAATGTGTCTATGAGAAGGAACAAAGTGTTAGCAAAATGATAAGTAAAATTTTATACTCATGAACTTTTGTTGCACTAATAGGTATCTCTATAGTTTCATATCTGTAGCAGTGCTCTTGTCCATTGATTCTCTTCCTAGGTGTATCCTGATGCACTCACCACCATCAGCCATGGCTGAACTCCTGCCTTCTGCCAACACATCAGTCTGTAGAACACTTTATTTTTATGGGCTCATCATTTTCCTGGCCAGCTTTCTACTCAGCCTCTTCACCATTGTGGTATGGTGCCACCTTATCTGCCTTTATGGAAAGAAGTGGGGATAAGGAGGGATTGGGTAGTACTCCCAAGGCCTGGAAAAGATGAGGTGGAGAATTACTTTTGATAGTCCCAGACTTAAAGTGGCTAGGTGATACTGACAATTTAATTATTACCTTAGTTTTTTGGACTTCCCAAGATCAAATGATGAGTGGGAAAAAGAACCTGTATTCATTCTGTAGGAATTATCCTCATTCTAGAAGTAATATATGTTCTTGTGGATTCCCATTTAGGATCAGAGCAGAAAACTACAATGTGTCAAGTATATCCTTTATATAAAATGACTAGAGGCTCAGTGCACAAAATTTGTGCACTTGGGTCAGGGTTGGGAGGGGGGTCCTTCAGCCCGGCCTGCGTCCTCTTGCAGTCCAGGAGCCCAACTGATGGCTTAGGCCCACTCTGCCTAAGCCATCAGTTGGACATCCTTAGTGCTGCCATGGAGGTGGGAAAGGCTCCCGCACCACTGCTGCGCTCACCAGTCATGAGCCCAGCTTCTGGATGAGCAGTGCTCCCCTTGTGGTTAGTGTGCATCATGGTGACTGGTTATTCCACCGTTTGGTCAATTTGCATATTAGCCTTTTATTATATAGGACTAGGGGCCCAGTTGCATGAATTTGTGCAACTTTAAAGGAACTGTAGGCCATGAGGCTGCCATGGGCACAGGGGCAGATTCAGCCTATCCTCTGCGCCCCTACCCAGCCCCTCCTGCCACAACCTCCAGTCCCCTGTCTGCTAGCAGCCCCGTTCCCGCTGCTGCTGTTCCCACACGCTGACAGCGCAGAGCGATTGGGGCTGGCACCAGCAGCAGGTACAAGCGAGGCCGGTGCCATCAGTGGATGTGAGCAGTGGTTGCTGCCCGATTGCCCCTCAGGAGTAGGGGGAGGTGGAGAAGCCCTCAGGAGTGATTGGGACTGGTGCCAGGCGCTGGCAGCGGGTGCGAGTGGGGCCGTTGCTGGCAGCAGGTGCAAGAGGCAGCTGCCAGCTCTGATGGCATGGAGCAACTGGGGCTGGCGCCAACATCTATTGTGAGCGGGGCCAGCGCCATCAGCAGGTGTGAGTAGCAGCTACTGCCCTGATTGCCCCTCAGAAGCAGGGGGAGGTGGAGAAGCCCTGAGGGGCGATTGGAGCCAGCAGCTGCCGCTCGCACCCACTTACGGTGCCAAGAGATAGGGGCCGGTGTCAGGCACTGGCAGTGGGTGGAAGTGGCAGCTCTGGCGCCAGCTGTGGGTGCTAGTGCTGGGTGGGATCACAGTGCATGGAAGCTAAGAATTTTTAGCAACCACCAGAGGCTCACCCCAATGACAGTGACCGGTGCCCTGCCTTGGTCTGACGCCCCCTCTCACCTGCTCCACCATCCTGCCATGGCCAATGCCCGCCATGTTTCACACTCTGCCATCTGCTGCTGATGCCTGCTATGTTCCACGCATGCCCCTTGGTAGTCAGTGTATGTCATAGTGACTGGTTGTTCAGTTGTTTGGTTGTTCTGCTGTTCAGTCTATTTGCATATTAGAGTTTTATACTAGTATATATAGATACTTTGGAATGTGTGGGGTGAGCTTTGGTTTAATTTTCCAAATAATGAAAGAGTTTTCTTTTCTCAATTCTTTATTTGCTATAAATTTGTGATTATGATATGTCTAACTGGGTTAAGGTGCTAAGTGACTCAGGCAGTTATTAAATACCCGACATCATCAGAATTATGTACAATTAAAATAATCAGCTATGGGACAATACATTATCTATAATAATAAGAGCATAATATGCTAATTAGACCGAAGGTCCTTCCAGATGAAGCCGAGACTGTGAGGGAAGCCAGGGTTCCTGATGCCTGCCGACGGCTGGAGGAAAGCCCAGGTCCTGGGTGTCAGAGGGAAGCTGGTGCCAGCAGCTGGGGGAAGGAAGGCCTACTCTTGCACGAGTTTCATGCATCGGGCATCTAGTTCATATATAACTGCCTAGTACAAAATCAGTAAGCAAGCAATATGCCTTCTGATTTGCCATATCTATTTTTCAGTATCATTTTCTCCTCTCTTTATATGTTAGTTCAGGGATTACAAACTATCTACCTGCAGACCAAATTTATCCCCCAAATATGTTTTGTTTCCTAGTACAGGTAGTACACATGAACCAAATATAATTGTGGAGAATTTCCTTTGATAATTCAAATATAAGTTATGGAGATAACTTAGCTCAAATCAACAAGTTTGTAAAGATTGCACAATGACTAATTTACATTAAAATGGCTTTAATGGTTTATATTTAGAACTGATTGACAAGAGAGATAGGTAGCCTGGCAACGTGGGGATTCCTGTTTGCTTCTTCAGAATAACCCAGGCTTCACTGGGCATTCAGAATTATCATTCTGATTCCTTTTTTAAAAATATATTTGTATTGATTTCAGAGAGGAATGTGAGAGTGAAAGAGAGATAGAAACATGAAAGAGAATCATTAATTGGCTGCCTCTCGCATGCCCCACACTGGGGATTGAACCTACAACCCAGGTATGTGCCCTAACCAGGAATCGAACCACGACCTCCTGGTTGATAGGTCAACGTTCAACCAGCTGGGCGCATTCTGATTCTTTTTTAAACAACAGATGATGAACTGATTCTACTAGCCATAAATATTCTCAAATAAGTTCAAGCCTCCTTTTGATTCCTATTTTTGTGGGGAAAAAAGAAACTTAAATGGCCAAACCTTTAGTTAATTGGTTGTTAATTTAGAGTATGGATCTGGATTATTAGGGAAAAGTTTCAAATTTGGTCAAAGTTGTTACCAAGATTATTACATAATTCACTCCACACAAAAATCATGTTGGACTTCTGAACTGATTTATATTTCTTTCAATTAGCTAAAGGGCAAGAAAAGACCCTCCCCCCTTTTTTTGCTTACAGTTGAGAATTTAAGCTCAGTCACAGTGCTAAAATATTTATTTTAAGGATATTAAGTATAGAGTACTTTCTAACATAACTCTAATAAAGGGTTTTTAAAGAGGGTTTGGTTAGATTTTTTTTTTTTAATCCTCACCTGAGGATATTTTTCCATTGATTTTTAAGGAAAGACAGAGAGAAATATTGGATGTGAGAGAATTGATTGGTTGCCTCCTGCACACACCCTGACCAGGGCTGAGCCAGGAAGGAGCCAGCAACCAAGGTATGTGCCCTAGACCAGAACCGAACCTAGGAACCTTTGATCTCTAGGCCAATGCTCTATCCACTGAGCCAAACTGGCTAGGGCACAGATCTTACTAGTAATTTTATTTCTCGTGCATATTATGGTCAGTCTCAGTGAGGAAATACCCTGAGCGTTATGGTTAAGGTTCATGTTTGAACATGGTAACCACAAGTTTGGCTAAGATCTGTCTGTTTCCCCAGCCAAGCAAAAGTTCATTCTGAAGATAATTTTCTCTCAGAAAAAGCCTGGTTTCAGATAGTAAAGACAGAGGAATGGGCTTTTTCTGCTATTAGATCCTAAGAGAACGTTCCTTCTAAAATTATAGGAGGATAGACCTGGAAAGTTACTAAGTCTTGGGCAAACTATTCACTGCTGTACCCCTGTCTAGGTCTTACTCATCCAAGCCCAGACTCTGTATAAGAAGTTTGTGAAATCAACTGGCTTTTTGGGAAGTGAACAGTGGGCAGCGATTCACATCGTAGAGCAGCGAGTACGCTTCTACCCAGTGGCCTTCTTGTGCTGCTGGGGCCCAGGTGAGTATCTTACTGGAAAGAGCTGGGCAATGAAGAGGGCATTATGGGGTTCTGATCAAGCAAAGAGGTCTCACCAAGAATGATTACTGCAAATTCCTGTCCAGCTTGTAAAATTTAAGTTGTTCCCACTCATATTTCCCAGTTTTTCCCAACCTCCTTAAATTCTTCTTATGTATTGCAAGTTAAGATAATTAGACATGTGATGCAACCTGAGAGGAAATGTCCTGACAGAACTCAGAGGTACTAATACCTGTCCATCCTGCTACATAAAGTTGTAGCAAGGATCAGATTGGATAATGTTTATGAAAGAGCTTGATAAACTCGAAAATGTTAAAAAGTGTGACTGTCTTCCTGTAGTATGTCTTGCCACCATTGCTGCACTAATAATCTGTAAAGTTTAATCACTGAGGAATAAACATTGGAGACCCAAGGCCCAGTGGTTTACATAATTGCTTAATCTAACTGCTGGTCTTCATTCTGTCTATAGCTTCCATTCTAAAAATGCTTAAGCATGTATACTGAAGAATGCTTAAGCATGTATACTGAAGAATGCTTAAGCATGTATACTGAAGAATTTTATGCTCAGGTAGCCAGTGCTGATAAGATTTATACTTTGTGTTTTCATAGCTGTCATTTTGATGATCATAAAGCTGATTGAGCCACAGGACACCAAGCTTCACATGGCCCTCTATGTACTTCAGGTAACATCTTCAACATCTAGCATCGATGTTCTCATGCCCTCTTTTCCTGTTCTCTTATAATGCCATACATATCTAAGCAAAAATTTTTCCCCTCAGGGTATTTCTACATTGCAAAAGAGAAAATATATTTAGTTATGAAGAATGTGAAATTTTCCTCACAGATGTGGTAGATACTTTGAGAAAGTGCTCCCATGCATTTCAGAGCATATTTATGTGTGGTCAACTTCATTTTATTGATGTATGTTTAAGGGATGAGTAACAAAAAAAAACAAATGTTCTTATGAAGCACTAATAATGACATGATTCTCTCCCATTCAGAGTGAATTGAATGGGATAAATGAGCTATTCTAGGTGAACAGGGAGACAGTAATAAAGAAATGGGACAATTCTCTTTCTTCTTCCTTTATCAAATTTAAGAAGACTTTTGGAGCTGACTAAGCTGATAGGGAAGTTTTCTCAATCCTGACCTGGGAAATGGGGCATTAAGGAGGGGCACTGAAATCACTTCATTGTCCTTATGTAAACAAAAACATGTCCTAAAAAATATGATCAACTCTCTTTCAATCATTCATGACAAGATACAGTGTAAAGAGTGAGTTCAGGAGAGCTAGAAAATATTAAAAACTGATGCCAGATCTTGAGGTATGGGTTAGAAGAAATATAACAATTCTTTATAAATAAGGGGAATGGGAACTATTCCCTGGATCTCTGAAAACCTGAAGGATGGGCTCCATCACCCCTTCATCTCCTCCAGGCTCTAACAGCATCATCCCAGGGTCTGCTCAACTGTGGAGTATATGGATGGACACAGTACAAGTTCTTTCAACTAAAGCAAGAAACTCGGCGTGATGCAGACACCCAGACACCATTATTATGCTCACAGAAGAGATTCTATAGCAGGGGCCTAGATCCATTGGACTCTACCCTTGCTTTTGCTACCAGCACCTCTACTACTCTTTGAAACTAGTACTGGGGTACAGGAACTGCGGTTATTCCACACTAAAGGATTGGGAAAAGTGTTGGGGAACATCTTTAGTCTTTTGGAAATTAAAGGGAATATAGTGCCATGGTTTAGTAGCCATTCTAGGTGAATTGGGCAGGATCTTTTTATTATTTTCAGATTCACTAGTGATTCTTAAAGTCTTTGTTCAAGGAGATGAAGCCACTTTTCATCTAAGAGAAGGACTTATTACCTTGGTGAATATTAGACTTGTCTAAGTCTTTTCTTAGAAAAATTAATTATAGTTTATTATTTATACATGCCACTTCTAGGTTCTCTATTCCATGGTTTCAAGTGAAGTAGGGTGGCATGCAACAGTTTTCTCAGCTGTCATTGCTATGTCTGCCTCTGAGGTTGGACAAAGGAAGTTTCTGTTCTTTGAAGAGTTTTGGAAACTCAGAATAAGCAAGGACAACTATCAAAAAAGTTACAGTGAGCTACTCAGATGCACCATAGTCTAGTCTCATATGTTCAGTGCCATTCTAAGTCTTGACAGGGACCATCCTACTCTAAAAAATTAGGGCCAGTCTTTTGAAGTTACAGGGAATAATAAGATTTAAGAGAAATCATGACTAGAGGAAACTCTAGGAATCAAAAACTCTAAAATGTCCTTTACAGGCAGAAGTCCTAAGAAGGTTTAATAGTGCTGAAAACTGAATTAGGTTTAACCATTTGAACTTGCCATTTTTGTAGGTGAAAATGGTCTAATATCAGTTTTACATGGTTCAACTTAACAGAGCTAAATATGTTTATAGAATAAATGAATAAATGAATGAATGACTAGTAAGTAGAATTTGAACCTTTTGGGGAGCAAAAAGATTCCTAGACTAGAGCCTCATTTATGGGTTGGAATATCTAATCTGTTTCTTCTTGAATCACATAACAAGTAATGTTTGATCTTTCTAGTTAGGTTATGAACAAGTCCAATCTGAGGCTTGTTCTATGATGCCAAAACAAAGGGGAAAGCCAGGTGGACAAAACTGACTGGAATGATAAAATATTTGGAACTCATAATCATATGATTCTCACCTGATAAATTTCTTGGTCTGTCCAATGCAAAATCCTTAAGATTAAAGAAAATCGACACGGGAGGTTACAATGGGGGATTTGATAGGATACTCTGAAAAGGAAGTTCCAGAGAGTTTTCCAAAGGAGCTCTCCATAGAAATTTTAGGGAGCTCAATAATAGCTCTTTAGATTTTAGGCCATGAGTTTCAGCCTTACTATGGAGATTAACATGTCCTTGTTCTGTCAACATTACATCTTGAGTCTTCTCATTGCCCCAATGCTCTGGAGAGCTGATTTCTGGGTAGCACAGAACAAGAAAGACTGCCTCATCCAGGGAGCTACTTTACCTTTTTTTAATTTAAAAACTAACAAGCATTTGGGATATAGAAAGACAGATGGAAGCAAGAAAGTATTCCCATCTCCATAGACCTTGAGGGACACCAGAACTAAGGAGTCAATTCCTTAAAACATCCTTTTAATATTACTTCATATGTGGATTAATTAATCAGAAAGATGGCAATTACCAAATATTTGTCAGATTTGTTCATTTTGCTTCTGCAAGATGAATCTTTTGCATTGACACTGGTCTTAAATCTTCTATGGATGTAGGCAAACAAAAGAATAGTGGAAATGAGACGTAATAAAAGGCTAAGAAAGACCTAGGTTAGGCTGATCAGTATTTTGTCATACTGAGAGTCAGAGGGGACACATGAACCTGAGCCACTATTTAAACTGTACCCCATAACCCTTGAATTCATAAGGCGCTCAGACATAGACACAGTGGCAGTTTTTAAAATTGTTGCAAATACCCCTCCCATGACAGGAGGTCAGGTTGCAGTCATAGTGAAATATAGTGGTATCTTAGCAGGTTTGATTTATACAGATCTTCTGTGGTATCAGGGCCAGCCTGACAGGTTGAGCCAGGCTGAGGTAGGGAGGTGGGAATTGAGAAAAGAAAGAAAGACAGGAAAGCGGGATCAGGAGGACTGCAGCTCAATCGAGGAACTGCAGCAAGTTTATTAACCACACAGTGCTATTTATACACAAGACACTGAATAGGAGGTCTGTCAAGAGGAATGTATTCTTTGTTCCTCTTAATCTCTAAGGGAGAGACACAGCAGAAGGACAAGTTCTCAGTACAGCATATCTCAGTAAATAGTTACAGACTTCTTGGTAAGCTATGAAAGGCTGTTCTCATTCTACAAATGTTGCTCTCATTCTACTGATAATCACCATCCAAACAAGTCTGGGAAAACTGTGTGGGTAAGGGTCCCAGCCTGTCTGTGGCTTAAAAAAAAACACATCTCTGCACTCCAACACCATGTGACTTGCATGAGGAACTGAATGTTTGATGTTTTTCAATGTATGGGAACTTTTAGATGTTTTCACATAGCAGCCTACCACATTTTATATCACACTTGCTGAGGACTAAAAAATCCCTTTAGATTTACTGCCACAGTTTCTAGACCTGTCTTGTCTCTCTTGGTATTCATGTGATAATACTAACTTTCATGAGCAACCTCTGTGCCCTTTCCAGAGATTTTTAACACGCTGATTCTCTAGGCTTTGCCACCAGCCCTGATAACAATAACCTTGTTATTTGCCAGGAGCGCCATCTTGCTTGTAGGTATTTATCTGCACTATGTCTGCACCTTGCTTGTAGGAATTTGTCTGTAATGGAGGTACCATTACAGTATTCTTGGAGCTCTGAAGCGGCAAGGTGTAGTTGCCTTTAGAAGTCAGTAGTTCTTGCAGCAGGATCCAAATGTACAAACTGAACCCTTCAGCCAGCATGAGGGCAGACAACAGTGATTCTTTTAATAATCAAGGACACTGCCATAATCACATTCTTCTTTTTCCACTCTTTTATTCCCACTATATGAGTTTCCAAAGGAACTTTGGAACTAAGATTTATGAAATAGGCAGTCCCTTCTGTGCTTATGTAACAGCTGGTGGAAGTAATGGAAGCTGTTACATAAACCTAAAAAGTGCAGTTGCTGAGGCCCATATTTACAGTAATAAGTTTATGTATAAAATGTCTGGCCATGACATTTGCAGGCCACATGATCATGCTTCATTCTCAAGTTGTGGCTACGCTCGTGAGCCATGAGAGTTGCGTAACGTGGCATATCTTCATGAGAGAAAGATTCAAAACTTGTTGCATTCTAAGTAGTGCAGATATCTCTGAGAAATGAATGGCCTTGGTACTTCCGAAGACTTTGGCCAATAATCATCATCATGCTTCAGTCTTTTCAAAATATGATAGTCTCTCCAGAAATGAAAAATTTGAAGTACTCCCTGAACAGTCAGGGAGGTGTTCATTAGGTTTTTCTCTGTCCATATGTCTACTCTAGTAAATACTGCTTTCACACTTAGCTCCTTCATGTACCTGTTGACCAGGGCATGGGTATCCATTATATCCTATTGTCTTAGTAACACTATTCTTTTGAATTGCTTATTGTCAACAACAATGACTTTTTAACATATTTGGGAAATGTCCACATTTGGGTATAGTATCTGAGGAGGGTTCTATTCTGCTCTGCAATTGTGAAGTGGTTAAGAGCTCATCCTTTTTATCTTCACAAGACCTGATTTTAAAGATAGACTATAAATCATATGCTCAAAATTCTTTGAAGTATAGGCTAGATGCGAAAGAATGCCATGTAAAGTCAAGATTCCCTTTAGCCCTGAGCAAGTGCCAAGAGTTGCAAGAGAATCCAGATCACCCTCTGAATACCCAGTCATCCTGAATAAAAGGCATGTCCAAGCCCAGTTTCCTAGTATGAAGTGTATAAATAGGGAGGTTCTTGACAAATAATCCTTTATTTTGCTTCAAATTAATAATATACCATTTTTATTGTATGAGCAGATAGGTCATAGGCCACATCTGCTTTTTCTTCCAATTGTCTGAACATCATTAGATTCCTAGGGATGAGTATCTACTAATAAAGATGCATCCCTTGAAGTATAGTTACTATTAGCAATAAGACGACATGTAGTTTAATATGGGAATGGCCCATTCTCAAGCATCCTACCTGGGAAGTTCTGAAAGAAAAATCAGTTCAAATCTTATCCCTGACCATTTGATTTCATAGAAGAAAGGGCAGGGAGGGAGGCAAAGTAAATAATTTGGATTATCATTGTCATGGCCCAAGTGAAATAGCTAGTGATCCCATACCTCCGTCTCTCATTTGCATTCCCTGGAACCCAAATCTTTGTCTGAGACACAGTCGTTTGGCCAGACCTCAAAGCTATGCCAGTTTGGACAGTGTTATATCTCTCCCCAGTAGAATAACTAACCCTGCCAGAAATTGGAAGGCATGCATACTAGAAGGACAGTTGCTCCCATCCCTGAGTATTATATGATGACAACTGCCGTTTGACTGTGTCTCTTCCTATTCCTGTTGTCGCTCTTCCTTTAGGAGTGTCCTTACTTTGCAACCTCCTGCAAAGAACAAGGTTTGGTGTTCCTTAGCTGTGCTCCTGCTATCTTTATAAAGGGGGTATACCAAGGGGAGGAAAATTTCAGAGGTCCAACCAGTACTGTGACCCAGAATCAAGCCCTTACAAAAGAAAACACTACATAACTACCTTCCCTCAGTCCCTGTTCTCCTGGAACAACTTTCTCCTCTTTTCAGTCATTGAAGCTAAAGGTTCCAGAGCAGGGTTTTGTGGATCTTTGGGTAGGTCATAGACCTCTGCTGTCCACCATTTCCTACTCTACCGTACAGCCCATTTCAAACCTCTGATCCTTTTTCCTTTTTTTCTCTATTTTTCACAATATATATACTTATTTGCTCAATAGAATATATGTAAATTATTTTTAGAATAACTAACCCTGCCTCTGTAAAAAGCAAATATATGAACTAGAGAACAATGTTTGTGTTCAGTAATTTTTGTCTTTAGCCTTCCAGTATGAGGTCAAAATAATTTTCTTCAAAATTATTTAGGTTAGTATTTTTCCATCTAGAACTATTTAGTGTGGTTATATTATTCATTTTTATTTTAGTAGGGCTCATATATTACTGCTTGTATTTCCTGTTGGTTTGTCAAGTGTTATAGTACTAAAAGTCAGTACTATAGAAAAAAATGTACTCCAAGTATACCTCCTTGAGCCTTTAACCTGTCCCCATGTCCTCATTCTTTCCATCCAGATTCTACTCACCAATCTCAATAGTATTGTTTATTTTTTAAAATTTCTTTCTGCAAATTAGCAGATGCATGTATATTTTCTTTTATCCCTTCTTATGTAAATATAGCGTGACATTTTACACTTTCCTTTTTAAACTTACATATACATCTTATAAATCACTCCTTATAAGTTTATAGAGATCTTTCTCATTCTTTATTAGCTGCATAGTACTCCATTTTGTGGATATACCTTAATTTTTTCCATCATTCTCTTGTGTATGTGCTTTTAGTTGTTTACATTGTTTTGAAATTATACACATGCATCAACAAATAATCCTAGAATTGGGAAGGTAGTGCTAACTGTATTTGTAACTTTGCTTGATATTGCCAATCCCCTTTCAGAAGGGTTTTGCCAGTTTGCATTCTCACTAGCAATGCCTTAGTGTCTGTTTCTGCACAGTCTAAGCAACAAAATATGTTGCTATGCCACACATTGTAATTTTCACCAAACTGATCGGTGACAAATGGCATCTCAGTGTTAATTTGTATTTTTCAAATCTGAATGAATTTGAACATGTTTTAATATGTTTAAGGGCCATTTTTATATCTTTACTTTTGGTCAAATAGGAGTTTAGTATTTATTAGTATTTGTGCACCTGACTAGAGGCCTGGTGCACAAATTTGTGCATGGGTGGGGTCTGGCCAGCCTGCCCCAATCGGGCTGATCGGGCTGGGCCCGTCGGGGAGAGGGGCCGTGGGAGGTTGGCTGTCCAGCTCCACCCCCGATCGGGACTGGACTGGCCAGGGGGAGGAGCCATGGGCAGTTGGCCGGCCGGCCCTACCCCTGGTCAAACTCCCAGTCGAACTCCTGGTTGAGGGGACAATTTGCATATTAGCCTTTTATTACATAGTATAGTGATTTTAGTTTGTTTTCCTGTAACAATT